CAGAATTTTTAAAAAGTGCTGCTAAAAATATTTAGAAACATATTTAGGAGTTGAGGTATAGAACTATATTAGTATTTAGTCCTTCCTCAAATGTACTGCTGTCCAAATAAGTGAGTATACATTAATGAGATAATGGCCAGATGAAAAGCCAATAATGTACACTGAACACACAGAAATAACTTTGTGTATCTTAAAAAAAAAAGGAACAAAATGCATGTTATTTTTTTATGAGCTATAAGGTCCTGGTTCAATCTGCCATGTCACACAGAATTATTATAAAACTCACTTGAATCAGATTTAGAACGACACAGAAGGAGCAGGAGGTCCTATAAGGACTGCAAGTTTGAATGGGTTTTGTTTTGATAGTTCCTCCTGCCCAGAGCTTTGTTTCTCTTCTTGAATAATTGAAGAACATGACTCTCTTTTGAGTAACTCAGATAGTCTGCTCTTCTGCTTTGATGAACAGCATGTTTTCACACAGCCCACATCCTGCATCGGAAGGAGACTAACTGCAATGCGGGCTCCCTTTTCCGTTTGTTACATATTATATGTGATATGCTAATTATCTGGCGTGTTTCCTGCCAGAGTATCACGAGTCATTTGAAGTGAAATAGTCAGACGTCAACCTTCCTTCTAGCATGTTCTTAGAGCTGCTGGGCAAGAACCAATCAGCGGACAGTTGCAGTCTACCTGTCGCGCAGCCTTGCTCCAGGGACCAGGTGACTATTGAGATTTTTCACAAACATGCCCCGAGGATCCCCCACCCGCTCTCTTTGTGCATGAAAAGAGCTCAGCTTGGAGCAACTGCTAAAAACTGATGTAAATACACATTCCACCCGAGGCTTTCCCTGCCCCTGAAAGCGCCCCCGGGACAGATGTGCAGTGTTCGCTGTGGTTCTGAGCTGTGCAGGATTCAGTTAGCAACAAAATGCAAGCCGTCCCATCCAGCCCCCACTTAAATCAACATGAATTCAGGCAAAGGCGCGGGATTATGAATTGCGCATTTGCTTAGAATAAGCACTTGCACACTTACTGCTTTCAGTTACAGATCAGACGGAGGATATCTGTTTATTAAGCGTCCCCCGTGTGCAGGCGTCGCTTTGCAGTAAATGCTCTCATTCTTTCCCATGTCCTTCACACTCTTTCTGTGCGAAGTCACTGCAAAGATAGAAAGAATGCATTCTGTGACGCATTGATGTTTTACTTTATCTAACGGTTATTAAGTGTCACTGAATAAGAAGAAAAATAAATCTTGGGGCATCTCTGAACTTATTTTTTTTTTTCCCCCCCCCCCCCCCCCCCAGCAAAGGTTATCTTTCTACTTGTCTGGACTCTAACTTCTACATTTGTTAACTTCAAGACAACAGGAAATAGAATACAAATACAATTTCTTTTTTGTCAAAACAAAATTGGACAATATTGTGAGAAAAACAAAGCAGGTCAGGCCTCCTCTTTCAATTTCATCATGCATTTTTTTCGCTCTCACCTGCAAAGTAATATTTTTATCTATGTCGCTCTGTAGTTTACCAAAGATTTTCACTTACACTATCTGATAGAGTGATTGCCACAAACTGCCAAGTGAGGCATTCTCAATCTTCTAGATGGGATCATGAGGACACTGGTGTTTAATCCCAGGGGCAACGGTCTAGAGACTGTTTCTAGACTTACCCATCACACCTCAGCTGCTTTCTTGTCTCTTCTGAAGATCTTCCTGTCTTCCTTGCATAACTAACCCCCTTAGTTCTCCTCATTTCTGGAATACCGCTAACTCCAAACCACCCTTCCTCCATACACTCAACATCAATCTTCTCTAATCACCAAGAAAAACAAATGATTTGTTTTCTTCTTCATGAGAGAATAGTGGATATATATTTAAATTATGAGTAATGGATCTGTCGAGGTTGGGTAAATGATGGGGACAGGGTTAAGGGATGGTAGATTGGAAATCGTCTCTGAAGCACAGGAATTTTTCTTTCATATCAGGTCTATCTATGGTGCCATGTACTTAGTCTAGGATGATGAGTGCCTTAATCAGAGGAGATTTAGGGTGATGGACACAGCATCATGCAAAGTGGCATTGCCACCCAATTGGTGCAAGGATCTCAGTGTCTCTATGGTTAAGAATGCATCTCTCACGTGGAGGCCAGAAAGATGGAGTTTTATATATGGCTCAAAATATTTAGTTGTGCTATTGGAGATACATATGTTTAATCTAAAACACAAAAATGTTTCTTGCAGGCTCAAATCCCCAAAATGTTATCAAGTGAATGGAATTGTATTAAATTGTAAAGTGGGGTGCCTAAGAGACAAGTTTAAAATGTTAATCCAAATTTTCATTGTATTATAAATAAAATGTTCATATCCACACTGTACGGAGCATGTCTAGAGAAATTCACAGTGGTCCCCACTGTTCTGTAAACCATACAGTCAGAAGTTAATGTATGAAGCACAACACTCTTAGATTTTATAGGGAAAGGAGAAAACAGTCATAAACATGCATAATAAATAGCTTTTTCTCACCACCAAAAAATTGATGTTCAAGACTAAATTAGTTTCTCATAAATTTTGCACAATTTCTCATGATATTAGCAAAAATGTGGTACAAACTACTGCAAGTTTTTTGGGCAAATTGTGTAGTGTCTTTGAAAATAATTGTATTTATTGTTATCAAGAAATTTAAAAGATATCATCACTGACTTTTGTTAAGCAGTATGTTTACTCAAGAAGTTAGCACAGTAACTAAAACTATGTGGCAGTGGTTATGTTACCTTTAAATCATTGTCACAGGTATTTCTGAGGCCCAGTGGTCTTACTGTCAAAAATGGTCAGCGTTGGTTGCCTGACCTTTAGCAATAGACAAGGATGACAGTCAGAGACAGAAGTCGAGAAAGTAATTTATAATTTACAGCAGGACAAAAATCTATAGAACACAAGGCTTTGGCTTTTGTGTTTTCTCCACCTGAAAAATCCTCATACAAACAAAACACGCATGTGGACTTACAGTATAATGAATCTCTGCTGGAGACCATGTGGTACACAGCACCTGCCTGAATCTTCATGATACTCTCATCCTACAAGATTTTTGGATAAACCAGCTTCTGGTCAAATGTACATTCTCACATATTGCTCTTAGAAAAGTAAAATAGCACAATGTTTGTGAAGTGTAATTTGTGACTATGTGATATCAGTCTATAAATGTAACTCAATAATTTTTTAAGGTGAAATTTTTACATATATATGTGTGTGTATATATACTCATATACACAAGAAAATTAACCATACCATTTAAAAAATTCTTTATTGTTGAAAGTATTACATATGTCTCCTTTTTTTCTCCATTGACCCCTTCTAGGTCCCCTCCCACCCCCCACCCCAGGCCTTCACCACACTATTGTCTGTGTCCATGGGATATGCATATATACATTCAAGTTCTTTGATTGATCTCTTCCCACCTACCCACCCACCTTTGCCTTCCCTCTGAGATTCAACAGTCTGTTCCAAGCTTCTGTGTTTCTGGATCTATTTTATTCATCAGTTTACTTTGTTCATTTGATTTTACTTATGAGTAAGATCATGTGCTATTTGTCTTCCTCTGACTGGCTTATTTCACTTAGCATGATACTCTCCAGGTCCCTCAATGCTGTCTCAAAAGGTAAGAGATCCTTTTTTATAGCTGCATAGTATTCCATGGTGTAAATGTGCCACAGCTTTTTATCTACTCATCTCCTGATGAGCATTTGGACTGTTTCCAGATTTTAGCTATTATAAATTGCGCTGCTATGAACATAGGGTGCATACATTCTTTCTGATTGGTATTTTGGGATTCTTAGGATATACTCCCAGAAGTATGATTACTGGGTCAAATGGCAGTTCCATTTTTAACTTTTCGAGGAAACTCTATACTGTTTTCCACAGAGGCTGCACCAGTCTGCATTCCCACCAGCAGTGCACTATGGTTCCCTTTTTTTCACATCTTCACCAGATTTGTTGTTTGTTGATTTTTTGATGGTAGCCATTGTGACAGGTGTGAGGTGATGCCTCATTGCTGTTTTAATTTGCATCTCTCTGATGATCAGTGATGTTGATCATTTTTTCATATGTCTATTGGTCATCTGTATTGTCTTCTTTTTTAAAAAAATATTTTTATTGATTTTAGAGAGGAAGGGAGAGGGAGAGAGATAGAAACATCAATGATGAGAGAGAATAATTGATCGGCTGCCTCCTGCATGCCCCCCATTAGGGATTGAACCCACAACCCCTGGCATGTGCCGTTGACCAGAACTGAACCCGGAACTTTTCAGTCCACAGGCTGACGCTCTATCCACTGAGCCAAACCGGCAAAGGCTGTATGTCTTCTTTGGAGAAGTGTCTACTCAGATTCTTTGTCCATTTTTTAATTGGATTGTTTATCTTCCTCTTGTTGAGTTGTATGAG